TCGAAGGCCCCTGATTTTTATCGTGCATTGGACCACTTCTGGCCCAGGTCTGCCTTCATTTCTGGCCCGGGCCACTTCTGTCCCAAGTCCACCTTGTCACTTTTGGCCCCAGCCCTCCCTCTTGGCCTTTAAACATCGACTTGGGCCACTCTGGCCCTAGCCCACTTTTCCGGGCTTCATAGTCAATAAACTCTAGTTAACACCCCCTCTGGAACCTCCGGCGGAGGGGGCCTATGACGCCAGCGGAGGCCTCCAGAGATGCTCGGCGGGGACAGGTCGACCCCTACCTACCTACCTACCTACCAAGCACCTCCTTTTTGGAAATACCCCAAAGCACCTGCCCTCATTGCTTCCGTGCATCCAAGAACTCTTCTGTTTTTGATTGGCTATGTGAAACATGACACCGCAAGTCTGTCTAGCTTTTGCAGCAAGACTATCTAGTATAGTCGGGACGCAACGGAACTTGAAAGCAAAGTGCGCGGCAATGTTGTCACCATTCAGGATGTACGGGATGGCCTCCTGCTGCACCTGACGCGTGTGCAACATGCAGTGCTGCTTTTAGCAAGAGACTCGCTAAAGCTAGCTCTGCAGGCTCGCTAGGGGAGATGAGGGTCTTTAAAACCCAGCCGCAGGAGATCCGAGAACTGTTCAAGGGAAAGTTCGAGGGCAAGTGAACAATGACATCTACTGTCGCTATAACCAAAGCAACAACCACCCCAGGACCGAGGAAGAGTCCAAACACTTCGGGGTCTAAAGCCAGGGCACTCAAGACGTCGCAACATTCACGGGAGACCCCAATGCGGCGAGAGCATGGACTCCCCACACAAGAGCTACGAACCCAGCTATGAGTTTCGCGGAAATTTCTTTGTCAACAGTCTTCACCGCTTTACTTTCCACGTAAGAACCCCCAAGCAAGTGTTTTGTTCTGTTTTGTTGACAAGCTGGCTGGGCAATGCCATGATTCTGAAGATGATAGGTCGGGTTCCTGTTCCCATGTTGCCTACAACTATCACTGTCATTGCGGGTTTGAACTGCTGCTTGGAAATGTTGCTTGTCTTGCTTATGTCTGACCTCAGTTACCTTGGTTGCAAGTATGCGATCGATACAATTCCGCCCAGTCGCTGGCGCTGGATTGAGAAGTGCTGGAGCTTCTGGATTCTCTCTTGGATCCAGTCCTCAAAACGTGACAAGCCAGTGATTAAGACTGACCGCTGCAGGTGACGACAATGATCACAGTATGAGCAACAGGAATAGTCAAATGGCTTACCTTTGGGGTCAAGCATCATGAACGTAAGTAACGGGCTAAACTTGTCACATGACATCACACCAGGAAACGAGAGGCGGAGCTGCCGAAATGAGGCCCCTTCATGTAAAGTGCCTCTGCACCACAGCTGTTACGTTGAAGCCTTAACCGTGACTACATGTTCCCCATCAATTTCTCAGTGTCAGCGACCAGTTGTGAAAAACAGTACTCAGCTAGGTCAGGCCACAAAACTTCAAAAAGGGACAACCGAATCTTTGAGAAAGCGCACGTCTGAATTCAAGCCGTCTCAGTCGCCAGCCAAGTGAGTTAGCTGCTCCTTCGATGACCTTCAAACCAAGGCCCGGCGACCACACAAGGATAGCTTTGCAGAACGAGCTTTTTAAGGGCTCCCGGGTTTAATTTGCAACGAACTCCGATGACAGAAGCTGCTGAAAGAAAGACCGCACCTCGGGCTTCAGCCCAAGTTCCGCGAAGCTCCTGAGCGAGCTTGCTGGCATGGTTTGGCAGAGACGTAGCATCAGGGAGACAGCACGAAGGTGCTCAAAACCTGGTAGGAGCCACGAACCGGAATGCAGACACGCGACACGTACTTCGCGTACATTACATGCGCCACACAGGACACGATTCGCAAAAATTGTGTTTGCTCTTCTAAAACATCCTTAAAGGACCTCAAAAGCGATGACAGCTACAAGGATGACGGCCCGAGGGGGTGTTCCAGAGCTGCAGCATCAGCACGACATTCGCGAACGCTTGCCCACGCGTACCGACGCTTCGCGACAACGCGCGCAACGATTTTGGTCACCTGCTGGACCACTGGACCCAAACAATTGAATCGGGAACCCTTTTGCGCAACATTCAGGAAAAGGGTGATGGATTCACTGGGAGGCTGGCCCAGAAGTTGGGAACACCAAGTCTTTGGCTCTCTTCCTCCCCCTGCCGGTCACAGCGTCACAGCAATCTTTGACTCATCGGAAACTCTACGAATAGTGTACTTTCATAATTTAAGGGATGCCGGGGCCTATTGGGATCATAAGGATTTTGCAGAAGATTCTCCAGGGGCTGCTTCTTTCCAAAACTCCGACTCAAAGGCCTAAAAGTGCCCGCAATTGCGAACTCGACGTCTGCCTCCATGGGCACCTGCGAAGAGGGCGTTGACACTAGTCACTAGGTTGGTCCTGATGGGTTGATACTCATAACTTCCTTGGTTACCCCAAAACCCTAAGCTGCTTAAACCGTATACACCCTATAAGACCTGTAGACCCTGCGAATGCAGTAATATATCCCACAGGCGGTAGACTTAGAGGATCTCAAAGGCTTGTCTACCTTTGCACCCGAGGGCGCATGTTCAAAATGAACACCAGCAGCGTGTATGTTGTCATGGATCTTATGACCCGGGCCGAACAATAACAAGCACATCATCATCAACATCATCATCATCATCATCATCATCAGCCACACCAGAAGACGAAGAATACTCGGCAAAATCCTTTGACCTTCCTGGGGCAGTCCCCGCTTGGGCAGCATCTTCCCATTGATCAACAACCACGGTATAAGCCCAGTTCCTTTGTACTGTTTCATTTTCTGTTCCACTTGACTTTCCGTTGTTCGAGTCAACAATATATTCAGAATTGGACAGCTGTAAAGCATCTCAGCAAGCAGCAAGGGACTGGTCCACCCAAGCCGCCGAAGCGTTCGCCGAGCAAACAACGGTCACTTGGCTGGGTGGGCCAGGGCCTTGAATGGCCCCGCGCCAAGAAACGAAACATATCAAGAAGAATTGAGAATCAAAGTTCCTGCAAAAGCATGCATGGTTTGACAGTGGCTTAGGGAAAAGAGAGGAAATTCATCATGGGAATGCCGCGCTGTCAAATCATGGTTCGTCAATCACTGCCTCCAAGGAGCTTGGATAATTTGCCTGAAGCCCTTGTCTTGAATTTTGGCACAAGCAAAACTTGGGAGGCAATGGAAGAATTCCAAGTGATTCCTAGGGCCGTTTGCCTGGCGGGTGTGCATGTTGCCCGAAAGGCCTGAAATGCTGAAAACTATCAGGATACAAATCCTTATCGAAGCCTGAATGGGGCTTCTTACAATCCTCTTAGAATACCAACATATGCGTAAGATCCCCAAAGACCATGTTGAGAACGCCCAGCACCAGAGCGGAGATCAGAGAAAGAAGAAAACGTGCCTGGCCACCGTGCGCGTCGAGGTAGTCTGCAGGCACGTCGTCCGCTCGAAAGATCAGTTTCTGCCAAGGCCGCAATGAGGTTTCTGTTTTGGAATCTGAGCAGGGCCCTTCAGTGTCACCAAGAGGCATCTACTTCTAGCTTCAACAGCTGCAGCCTCACTCACCCTAACGATAACATCTGCCTGAGCGGAACTTGTAAAGAAGCGCCCAGCTTCAAGGTATAGATCTCCCTAGAGACCTTTGAAGACTGCAACCTTTATCATTGGTGCTGCTGGTGATGGGGGGCGCAAGCCGCCAAACAGTTGCAACTTCAAGGACGTGGGATTACATGGAGTCCTGGGCATGTTACAGAGAATTCCTCTGCAATCCCTTAACTTCCAACTTTCAGCTTTCCAGGACACAGCAGGCCTCGGGCGGTGAGCCACAAAGCAAGTACCCAAAACCACGATGTGGCAACCAGTCACAGACCTGTCACGGTTGGCGTTTTACAAAAGGGGCAGGAGCTCCAAAGATAAACAACAAATTTCTAGAGGGTGTCCGTCACTTTGAGAGTGGATCATTTAAGACCATAATCCGCTTCGCAGCCCGCGGGCGTGCTGGGACTTCAATGGGCACTTTCCCAGGATTGCATCTAAAATTAGACAAAGGACCCTTTTCAGGATTTAGCCGTGAAGAGCCAAGACAATTGACCCAGGGCAGCGCGTCTCCACCGCAGAGAGGTGCGGATTTCAATGAAATGTTCATAAGGTTAGGGTTTAGGTAACACTATGCAGCCAAGAAACATGTTGAACCTTCTGATCGCCCAAGGAATACATTACCTCTTTGTGGTGGCCCAAATCAGATATTCAGGCGGGCACATATGAATATACTCTTGGTTTTTAACGGGTTCTTCTTTGCCACTCTTGCTTGAAAACATGGAAACTTCTATGCCATCCCTTCAAATAAGCTGCAGTCTAAACTCCTAGTTGACATGCCCTCCGATTCCAGAACGTCTTTCGCAGGAAAGCGGATGGGAGGTTATATATAGGGGATCATATAAGGAACTATTCTAAGGGCTATCAAGGGGAATACTATGAACATGTCAACAAGGAGAAGAATCTGAGAAAGTCTGACCTGCCCGCCCAAATTGATCGATGTAGTGGGCCTTGCCAATTCCTCGCTTCTCATCGAAGTACGGCCTGCCAAACTGCCTCGACAGAGATGGTTCTTTCGCGACGGGTGTCCACTAGACATTTTGATCCTAGTTCCACAAAGAACCATCACACCCGCAGGCATTTTCCCAATTCGATTGAGGATGCTAGTGTGCCAGTCTCTTAGCGGATCTGCGGGCACCTCTCCATTTCGATGCCTTGCTGAAGGATGGTTGCCTGGATCCGAAGGGTTCGGCGGTTTCTGCAGGCTGCGAGGACTGCTCCCAGCCTCCATTGGCCGCCGCTTCCACTCATCCACCTCCTCCATGACCTGAGGTCCCATACACGGCAAGGCAATCCTGACCAGAGCTCAGATTAGACCTCAGGGCCACGCTGTCAGGGCCCGGCTTCCTTTCGCACAGCAGAGGACACGAGAACCTGGCTTCATCAGGTACTCGTTTGTATCAATGCTCTTCACACACTGACACACTGCGATTAGCCTTTCTTAACTGAATTTTTGCCCAATGGGTGCATGCCCGTCGCTCCGGTGCCAAACCCTCACGGCACCCATGTAGCCGGCTGGGTGCCCACAGTTTCCCAGATTTTGGCAAGCACGCGAAAGCGATAGGTCGACGATCGGATCACTACTCCTCCTTTCAAACCTCGAGGGCTTTGTGGGCAAGACTAGCTGAACAGAAGCAAAGGCCATCTGACCTCTTCCAAACCACTAAGGCCGAGAGCTTGAGGGATGGGCTCCCCTGTGCCATGGAAAATGCCAAGCGCCATGTTCATAGATGAATACAAGTTTGAGCTCTTCTGCTCTTCTGCACCTATTGCTGCCGCTGTCACCATTTCTGGTATTGCTGATGCCACTATTGCTGATGCTATTGCAGCTTCTGCCGATGCTGCTGCCGCCATTTCTGCATTTCTTATGCTATTGCTGCAGGTGCTCTCCTGCTCCATTTCCTGCTGCTGCTGCTGTTCCCTCGTACAATGGCTACTGTTACTTGCTTCTCCTGCTGCAGCTGCTGCTCCTGCTCCTCAGGCTATTGCTAGTACTACAGGTATTGGAATTCGTGTTGCCACCACGAGTACTGCACGATTACCATGACAACCACTATCAGCCGGTATATCTGTTGTTCTTGAATTCAGGCTGGAATTTGCCGCTGCCATTGCTATTTCTTGGGATACGCTCGACTTCTGCTTCTGTTCACTTTTTCATTCCTGCCTTCAACAATAGCGAAGTAACAGATCCTATTACAACTACAAGGAATTTCAAATTACCCTCTCTATGCAAAAATGAAATCATTGCGCGCATGCGCAGTGCCTTGCCAAATGTGCATGGCGACTTTTGGTACGATGACGTTCCACCTTCAAACAGCGGCCCCCCCCAGAATCAGCGACTTGCATCGGTCGACCCAGTGTGGGCCACGCCTGTAGAGGTGGAAATGCACTTAAGGGTCGGGCGGGTGAGAAGGTAGGACACAGTTTCGGCATGTTTCGGTGGTATGGGCAAAAAAGCAGCTGCACGTACCGCCCGGTTGCTCTCACAAATGCGTTTCCAAACAACCTGCCAAAGAGTTTTCGTGATAGCAAGAAGGTCTCGCAAGGGCGCCCAGCATTAACCTGGAAGACAACAACTATACGACAGTTGTTCTTCTAATCCTTTGAGTTGCCAACACTTTCTGGGGCGGAATCATGTCACTTGCTCTGAAGGCAAGGGGCGCAACGGCCTATTTAGGTATGCAAAACTTGTTTACACAATCAGCGTGTGTGCAGTAGGCTGGCAGCACCGGCTGGCAGCAGTTAAATGGCGGCGCTGCAGACACCGACTTGTTTCGGATTTCTTACTGCAGCCGTGAGTCAAGCCAATCTGACCAACTGCCAACTGCGTCACTGTCCCCAAACACACAGCAAGGATAGGTCTGGTGAAGATGGGAGCATTGCAGGATGAATACATTATAGATATGCTGGCAACGATGCTCTCAAAACGCAACGGATAATCATGAAGAACCCTACGTCGTGTTCCAACCGGCCCGCAGTTGTCTGCTCGCAAGTGCAAACCACATCTGGCCTCGTGCTCTGGCTGTTCGATGGCCTCCGAGCGGCACTCTATTACCAGCTTCGTTGCACGCATGACCGCAGCTGGCCACAGCAAAATAAAACTTTGGCAGTGCCTTCATGTTATACTAGCACAGGCTCCAATTGAAAAAGTAGAAGAAGCAGGTAGCAGTGTGCAACAGCTTTAGCGGGTCGCACCTCTCACAGCCCGGCAGGCAAATGCAATCACCTCAGAATCTAATGTTGTCTTCACGTCGTCTTCTGCTGTACTGGTGTGTCCACTCTTGTTAATCTGGGCCCAAGCCAAGACTGACGCTGCACATGATGCAGCTGCTTTATCGGCCTTGGCAAGAGAAAATAAACAAATGATAAGATTGCACTCCTGATAAGGCATATTCTGGACACCAGCTGAGCTGCAGTACACTGGTGCGAAAGATTCCAGTACGTCCAAGCCCCGGACCGGCGACTGCTTTGAACATGAACTTGTATGCACAGCAATTTGCCTTACTGGTTCACAAGATGGTTGCAACATAAATGGCTTGCAAGTATACCAAGCACATGCGAGCAAAGATCTGGGCTCAGAGCCTTGTGACCAAATGATCATGGGCTACAGTAGGCAAACCAAAGGGATTGTGCATCATGGCCGCCATCGATATATGAGAAAACTGACTTAATGGTAGGACGGATGCCACAGAATCTGCTGCAAAGCGTAGATCCCCTGCCTGTCTAACTGCTCTCTTTACGTTACGCATAACCAATAAATACTCGTGCCTGTTGATTGTTACGGTTGTCTTGAGCGGCGAGTGGTAATTTTTGAATTCTGCATGTTTAACACAGGATCGGCTTGGCTGGGTAGTGTGCCGTTCAGACATTCAGGCTCAAAACCTAACTAACGATGCAGCTGCAACCAATAACACCAGCACCAGAAAGGCATCCAAAGCCCTCGCGCGCATTTGCAACAGCCACTGTGCCCGGGATGTGATTGAGCATTTGTTCAGCTCACAATGCGTTTCCCTTACGAATTTTCTGGCAAAGCCCGGAGCTTGGTGTTTAGGTTCGCATCTCCACGTTGGGCCGCAAAACAAATTGGAGATAGTGGGAGCCTAAGCCCTAGGCTTCCATTCATATCTGACCAAGACGCTTGAGGGTTGCCAAAAAATTGGAGCAAGGGCCGATGAGCAAAGAAAACTTTCAGAAGGTTGTACTCATATGCAGCCATTTCCAAAATGATATGTGCACAACGTGTCAATCAACAGAATCCATCAACACGAGTAATGAAACATGCGATTTCATAATCAAAAATTGCATGCAAAACTCAGGATTCACTCTAACATTCATTCTTTTTGGCGTGGTGGAAAGCATGCATGTCACAGTTGGGCCGGGGCTAATGATTAACATACGTCCAACCCCCCCCCGCAATGAATAAAAACAACAAACTCAAGAATCATTACTTTTTGATATAAAAAATGCTCATCAAGGCCGGCTGGGAGGAAACGTGCATCTGGTGTCGGCTGTCCGGGCTAAATTCTACGGCTACGGAGGGTCAAATTGACCAATCTGCACGCTGCGCGGAACACTGCCAACTACGTGATGGCAAGCTTGAAAACCCCAGGGAGGACGGATTGAGGCCTTCAGGAAGAAATCAAGCGGCTACTGGCTGGATATACACCAAGAAGACGCCGGGGAAATGTTCGATAAAATAAAACAGAAGTGAGTGAGCACAAGTACCGTTTTATATTCATATCCTGCCATTCCCAAAATGATATGCTCACTAAGTATCAATCAATAGAACCCATCAACACGAGCATGATGTATAATATTTCTTATTTGTCTTCAACAAATTTCGCGCATATGTTATATGAAAATTGAAGATACACTCACTCAAATTAATATTCCAAATCATTCAAGAATCAATATCAATCACCACAGTACGAACGACTTTGTTTTCATCTCACATCGCAATGGGGTTGCTATCGCATTAAGTGTGCGAAGTCTCCTCGGCTTCAACCGCACTGGTCTGGCCTGACCTACTAGCGAGCTGTAGAAGCGTACCGCCTTAGCGTTGATCTCTCTTGAGTCTGCCAGGCCCACGCACACGTGTGATGCTTTGCATTTGTGCCTCCTTGGGGGCTGGACTTCTGTCCTCCTCTTTCCCCGACCGCTGATGTGCATTCGGGCTGCCTCCCATAGTGACACTCAGGTCGACTCTAGGAAGCCGGTCCTCTGCCCTTGGCCACGGCACAAGAGTAAGGCTGCCGCGGGCCATCGCGTATCCTCAGCTGAAAGGTACGCAGGGTGTTGGACGCAAGGAGGAGTTGAGCAAGAACAGTAACAATGTCCCAAGGCCATAACTCGTGAGGACTCGGCCTTAGATTGCAAGACAGGACAGCAGGGCGCCATTCGGGACCTGGAGCCAAAGCAAGGAAGGCAATCTTCCAGAACGCGGCAGCTAGAGGAGACAACTCAACCAGCTCCGTTTGTCAGACTGTAAAAGAGTGCCCTTAGTCGAGACAGATCGTTCTCACATCCACAATAGGAATGACACCACGAGGAACAGTTGCTACAAATCCAGCCTCGTGCGCTTCACCAGCGCAAGGATGGACAACACAAACGCACACACTGTGAGACTGTACGTCGTCGAGCTGCAGTCCCGGGCTCATCAGCCAGCGAAGTGGCCGGCGCAGGAGTTCCCTTTGTTTCAACACGTGGCAGGCTCACTTGACGGCTCTGCGATCATCTCCTGTTCTGGAACTGGAGCCTCAGGTTCGACAGCAGGCTGCGCGGGCTGGGCAGGATCTGTCACAATGGCAGGAGAGGAAGACATCCCTTGCAACTCATCTTGCCAGCAGGCATTTTCTTCATCTGAGGCTTTGCCGCCCCATGTGGCGACGCAAGGCTGGCAGATGGTCTCCAGCGGCCCCAGCATGCGTTTGATTTCGCCTCTGGCCCCATTGATGTGTTGTGGCATAACCCTTCTGAGCACAATCAGGAAGTTCTCACACAGCTGTACTAGGCCTGCGAGAGCCGGGACTTCTTCGTCCTGCGCGTAGGAGATCTCAGAAACAAGCTCGGTGAGCGCTATTGCGAAAGCCGGTGTCGTCGCTGCAGTTGGATATTCAGTCACAAAGGACTTCCTCCAACGTCAACATGAGTTCACAGCGCACAGGAGGCAGGATCCCTAGCTGAGACAGACAGCTAGTGAGCACAGCACATTGCACGGGCAAAGACGCTACTGTAAAGGAAAAGAGCAGCGCGGGTCCGAGGCCA